TATGGAGCTTACATTCTAGTGGAGAAGATGTCAGTGACAAATATATAACGTCCGAGGTGGTCTGTTTCATGAGGAGGACAGGGAAGCCTAAAGGGTTAGGAACACTGGGACGTTGGGGGCTGGGCCTGCCTCACTGGTCCCCATTCAAGGTGATGGTTGAGTAGGGACCAGAAGGGAGGGAGGGAGTCGTGCAGACATGTGGGAGAAGAACATAGCAGGTGGTAGAAGAAGAAGGAAGTTCAGAGGCCCCTGGGTGGGAGCGTGTTTGGCTCGTTGGTGGACTAGCAAGGATCCAAGTGGCCACAGAGAGTGAGGCTCTGTCTGTGTGTGTGCATGCACATTTGACAGCAAGGTCAAAAGATGTCACGGGCAGGACCATGTGGGTTGACCACAGTAAGCTCTGGGTATTCTGGGGACATGGGAGCCACTGGGAAGTGTGGAGCAGAGGAAGGACGTGATCCCTGTAATGAGGGGTCACTAGGCAGGCAAATGGGAGGCAGGGAGTTAGGGAGGGCGTGGTAGCCGTGGAGGTGGTAAGGAGTGGCCAGATTTGGAACTCATTTGGAAGACAGGCTTTGCCGTGAATTGGACATAGAGCATAAGAGAATGAGAGCACTCCAAGATGACTCCAAAGGCTTTGGCTGGAGCCCGGGGGAGTTGCCATTAACAGAGATGGAGAAGGCAAGGGAGGAGCAGGCTGGGGTCACAGGTGGGATGGATCCATGTTGCTGGAGCTGTTGTTACATGTCCCAGTGGAGGCAGCAGAGAGGCTGTGTGAGTGTGGAGTTGAGGGGAGTGCCCACGGGAGAGGTCAGAGCACATGAGAGCCAGTGATCAGTATGCAGATGGTATTCCAGGCCACGGGCTGGATGAGATTGCTCAGGGAGTGAGTCTAGCCCGGGAAAAGGTCCTAGGCCTGTGCCCCAGGCCACAGTAGCCTGTCTCATTGGGTGCTTATTATGCTTCTGGTACCTGTGGACATTCTGTTAACACTCCTTCCAAGGAGGTACTATCCTTATGTCTCCAAATGAGGAAGCTGAGGTTCAGACAAATGAAACGATTTCCCCAAGCTGCACAGCCTTACTAGCGTCAGAAAGCGCACCAGGATTCTGGCTCCCCAGCCCTCACAGCCCCAATGCAGACCCTCGCTGGGCCTGATGCACCAGGCAGGAGGCTGGCTGGGATGACCTTGGCCAAGGCCAGATGAACTGCACTGGGGCAGCTTGCCCACCTCCCTGGGCCAAGCCGGGAGTGACTCAGGCCTTGGCTGCGTGCTCATGCTAGGAGAGGAGGTTGGCTGTTTGCCACCCCTGCCAGGCCTGGATTCCTTCACAGGGGAGGTGGAGGGCCACTTTGATCCTGGCTCCCTGGGACCTGGAGGAGGACAGGTGTGGGGTTTCTGCTTCCCGGTCCCCGGGTCACCCACAACCATGAGTTCAAGGGAGCCTTGGAGTCAGCCTCCGAGAGGTCTGATGAGCCCAGTGGGCTGTTGGCTTCCTTTTTCAGAAGCCAGTCAGGGCTTATCTCCTTCTTTCCCTGCCAGTGCTCAGCAGCTGTGGTTCTGAGAGGTGGTACGGTCTCTCCAAGGTCACAGAGCCAGCTTGGGAGCAGAGCCAAGAGACCTTGCTACCATGCTGTCTGGGTCATGTTTCCTCTGCTGAAATGTCCTCTGGGCTGTGCCCAGTCTCCTGAGCCCGGGGCACACATGGCTGAATTTCTCATACTCCTTGGCTCGTAGCCCTGTGAGCCTTACTTGGCATTTTTTTTTTTTTTTCTCTTAGGAAGTGGGTTCCTAATTCTGGCCTCTCCACATACTGGCTGTGTGACTTTGGGTAATTGACCTAACCTCTCTGAACTGGTTCCCACAGCTATGAAATGGAGACAGTAATGCCTATCTCATGGAGTTGTAATGAAGATTAAACGTGAAAGCCCCTGGCATGAGCTTGTAAACCTGTCTCCTGCTTGCCTTAATCCTTTCATGTATTTTTTAAACTGCTTTTCATTTGAGCAGTGCTAGTTGCAAAAGGCAGCCCGGCATGGACAATTCTGACCCTGCTCCCAGGCACGCTGCAGCCACGGCCTCAGACTCTGCCCTGAGCTTAGCCAGGGAGAGAGAGGGACAGTGCTATGAGAATTGGGGGCCTCTATAGTCCCCCTGGTGCTAACTACAGGCAGCCTGGGAGTCTCTGAGACCTTACAGAGTCCTGTGGAAGTGGTACTTCTGTAAATCAAAATGTTTCCCATTACTATTCCTGAGCACTCTCTTCATCCACAGAACCACCCTTTGATAGAAAAGTCTAGACTTGGCCGGGCGCAGTGGCTCGTGCCTGTAATCCCAGCACTTTGGGAGGCCGAGGCAGGTGGATCACAAGGTCAGGAGATCAAGACCAGCCTGGCCAACATGATGAAACCCCGTCTCTACTAAAAATACAAAAATTAGCTGGGCGTGGTAGTGCGTGCCTGTAGTCCCAGCTACTAGGGAGGCTGAGGCAGGAGAATCGCTTGGACCAGGAGGTAGAGGTTGCAGTGAGCCAAGACGGCACCACTGCACTCCAGCCTGGTGACAGAGGGAGACTCTGTCTCAAAGAAAAAGAGACAAGTCTAGACTTTGCTTTTACTTGCTGTGTGTCCTCGGGCAACTCCCTCTTAGACTTGGGTCCCTGGCTCTTTACCTGTAATGTGAGGCAGGGGGTGGGGCTGGACTGGAGTTGTCAGCCCATTCCATTTCGTGGCCCCCACAAGGATGTTTTCAAGGCTTTGCACCTGGGCTACATGGAAGCGGCTGCTTGAGCTGCTGTGTCTCCAGTTGCCCAGACCAGCCTGGCCTCCCCCTGGGGCTGTGAGGATCCATATTTCCTTCCAGAGGGTGGAAGGAGTTCCAGGGATTGACATCCAGGTGCTGAGGAAGACTCCCCTAGAATCTCCCTATCCCAGGGCAGCTTGGCCAGTTCACCCACAACTCCTGGCTCTGCACCAGCCTCCTGGGGTCTAGGCATTGTGCTGAGAATTGTCTTATTTCATTCCCATTGAAACCCCCTAAGGGGCACATCCAGATGAGGGTATGGGGCCATGGAGAAGATGGGAGACTTGTCTGAGGCCCCACAGCTGGGGAATATAGAGAAGGAGCTGCAGCCTCATCTGAACCATTGCAGGTTTCCTATAAGCAGCGGGGGTGCGAGAGGGCTTCTGAGCTTCTCAACGCTCAGAGAGGCCCAGAGCCCAAGGGAGCTGTCCAGAGGGCTGCTAATGGGTAAAATGTAGGCCCTGCCGTCACCCTTCTTCTTCCCCTGGGGTTGGAAGCTTCCCGGGAAGCTGAGGCAGGAGAATCCCTCGAACCTGGGAAGCGAAGGTTGCAGTGAGCTGAGATCACGCCACTGCTCCAGCCTGGGCAACAGAGTAAGACTCTGTCTAAAAAAAAAAGGCCGGGGGTGGTGGCACATGCCTGTAATCCCAGCACTTTGGGAGGCCGAGGTGGGTGGATCATCTGAGGTCAGGAGTTTGAGACCAGGCTGGCCAACATGGCAAAACCCTGTCTTTACTAAAAATACAAAAATTGGCCAGGCGTGGTGGCAGGCGCCTGTAATCCTAGCTACTCAGGAGGCTGCAGGAGAATCGCTTGAACCCGTAAGGTGGAGGTTGCAGTGATCTGAGATCGCACCATTGCACTCCAGCCTGCGCAAGAGGAGTGAGACTCCAAAAAAAAAAAAAAAAAAAAAAAAAAAAAAAAAAAAAAAAAAAAAAAAAAAAAAAAAAAAAAAAAAAGAAATAATAAAGCTGCCACTTTTCTACAATTAACAAAATTACTGTAAGGCCTGGAATAAGCATGAGAAAGTCAGAAGTTGGCTTTTGGGCACATTCCATTCTCAGTGGTCTGTGCTAACAGAAATGCAACCTTAGCAGTGATTGACATGCCTGGTTTTGAGTGGGCTGGGCGATTTTCTGTGGCAGATTTAGGCTCCTCATTGCCCTTGATCTTCAGTTCTACCCATACATGTTGTCAGGACACTGTGCTGGCCCTGGTGGCTGAGGGACACACTGGCTGGGGCAGGGGAACTGGGCTTGGTGGAAATAAGAACAGAAGTTATGGTGTATATGGTTTCTCAAGACAACTTTGAGAAAAAACTTCTAGGATTTTTCAAACTATGTAAGAACACTGAGTGTCCCATAAGAACAAGTGTGTCTGTGATATAAAACATGTCAGCCTGACCCTGGGGTGCAGAAAATGAAGTTTAGGGATTGACAATGGCCCTGCATCTCTGCTTCTCTCTGTTGGGTTGGTCAGAGTGGACTGAGTTTTAGGGCCTGACATGAGTTTTCCAAGAGTGGGAACTGGGCCTCCCATATGAGCCCAAGGCTCTGCCAGGATGGAACCCTGTTTCCTCTCTCGGGCTGGAAGCTCCCGGTGACACTGGCAAGTCCCGTTTCTCATCTCTGCTGTCCCTGGGGTTCCTTGGAGCTCTGCCTGAGATGCCTGCCCTGGTGGTGGGATCACGATGTTGGGGCAGTGATGTGGACAAATGAGAATAGGGACTAGAGATCAGAGAGGCAGGACGTCTTTAAAAAGCCCCTCCTTCCTCAATCAGGTCTTCAGGGGCCCTTGGCAGTATGGGTAATGGTAAAGACCAGTGGCTGGGGGGCCGTATGTCCCAGGTTCAAATTCTGGCTCCTCCACGAACTCAGCGTCTATGCCTCAGTTTTCCCATCTGCAACATGGGAATACTAGCACCTACATCACAGTATTGTCATGAGTTGGCCCACACAGAGCACTTAGGCTGGTACCCGGCACTGACGAAGCCCTTGCTAACTGGTAGCTGTCCTGTGCTAGCAAAGAACTGTGGGAGTTTTTTACTGCAGCTGGGGAGAAAGCAGGAGGGAGAAGGAGGTCTCCCCTGCGCGTGGTAGGGGTCGCGCCTCCTTGCCCTCATTTCTTAATGGCCCTTGGCCGCCACCCTGAGCTCATGTTTGTTAGCCTCGGCCCTGACTCTCTCCCTTGGTTTCAGGTGGGACCGTCCGTGGAGCCGGTGCAGGATGCCCCGGGGGTGTGGATGACCCGCCGTCCAGCCCCAGCACGGCCCGGCCCGCATGCCACTGCCCCGCGAGGACCGCTCTCCGAGGGCCGCCTGGACCCGAACCCACAGTCTCCAGACCCGGGGCCCTCGGCAGCCCCTTCCTGCCTGGCCGCCCAGGGCGGAGGAGGCGCAGGAGTGAGCTGCTCCCGGCTGCGGAGCAAGCAAACGCTGACGGCGGAAAGACCCTGGGGAAGGGGCTTTGTGGCCGCCTAGAAACATTTTCCCCCAGCGGCTCCGCAAAATGACCAGCCTGTTCCGGCGGAGCAGCAGCGGCAGCGGCGGGGGCGGCACCGCGGGTACGCGCGGGGGCGGGGGAGGCGCGGCCGCCCCCCAGGAGCTCAACAACAGCCGGCCGGCCCGCCAGGTGCGCCGCCTGGAGTTCAACCAGGCCATGGACGACTTCAAGACCATGTTCCCCAACATGGATTACGACATCATCGAATGCGTGCTGCGCGCCAACAGTGGCGCGGTGGACGCCACCATCGACCAGCTGCTGCAGATGAACCTGGAGGGCGGGGGTGGCGGCGTCTACGAGGACAGTTCCGACTCCGAGGACAGCATCCCCCCGGAGGTAGGGGCGCGGCCCGGGTAATTCACCACCAGCTCCAACCACTGTTGGAGCCTAAGAGGGCCTGGGTTACTCCGCTGTCTGGGTTCTAATTGGCAAGCAGCCTTACTTCCCCTAGGAAAAAGTACCATCCGTCTGTGACCTTATTTTATGGGCAGAAATCATGCAGTCATTCAACAAACACTGAGCACCCATTCCGTGGTGTGCGAGGCGTGGCACTGGACCCCAAGTCAGGAGGCATCAGAATCAAGGTGCTTGTTAAAAGTGGAGGTACCCAGGCCCCACCCCAACATACTAAACTCCACTTCCAGGCCTGGAGTCCGCTAGTGTGGCCAAGTCAGACCAAGTTTCTGCCCTCCTGGAGTTTACAGTCCAGTGTGGACCAGAAGCACAGGAGTGGGTACTGGCGGCCGGAATGATAAGTGCTCCATGGAGATGTGGAAGCGGCAGGAACGGGTGGCTTCCCAGAGGGAGCTAAGCCGAGACTCTAAGCTGAGACCCGAAGGAAGCGCGAAGCCAGGGAAAGGGTGTGCAGGCAAAGGGAACAGCTCCTGCAGAAGCTGGGAGGTGAAATAGCGCCTGAGTGGCTGGGGAACTGGCTGCAGGACCATCTTCAGGGTCCTAGAGTGAGAGGAGACTAACGAGCTTGACAAAGCCCTGACGCTGAGAAAAAGTGCGGCTGTATCCTGGGAGCTTGGCCACGGAAAGGGAGTGAGGAATCAGACTTGACACTTAATCCCTCTCACTGTGGCCTGATGGAGGCGGTAGTGAGCCATAGCCAAGCTATGGGAAGTGGCTGGAGACAGGGGACGTGCCTACTGCATCAGTACCCACCTGCTGGAGGTGGTGAGTCCTTCCCAGTCCCACCCAAGAGTTCAGTGGATGTCTGGTCCCCCAGTCAAAGCAGAGCCTGAGGTGCTTGGTGCAGAAGACTGAGGCACACAGAGTCGGTTAATGAGAAGGTTGCTGTCCACAAGACCATCTGGGACATGCAGCCACGGATAAGCCCAGGACGCAGCAGGAGGTATTTAACTCCACTCTTTATTGAGTCCCGACCTGTGACAGGCATCATCATCCTAAGTGTCATCTCTTCTTCTTCTTTTTTTTTTTTTTTGAGACAGAGTCTTGCTCAAGCTGGAGTACAATGACACGATCTCAGCTCATTACAACCTTCATCTCCTGGGTTCAAGTGATTCTCCTGCCTCAGCCTCCTGAGTAGCTGGGATTACAGGCAAATGCCACCATGCTCAGCTAATTTTTGTAGTTTTTAGTAGAGACAGGGTTTCACCATGTTGGTCAGGCTGGTCTCAAACTCCTGACCTCAGGTGATCCACCTGCCTTGGCCTCCCAAAGTGCTCAGATTACAGGCATGAACCACCGCGCCTGGCCTGATGTGTCATCTATTCTAGGCCTCACAAACTTTGCGATGTGCTGTTGTTATTACCCTCGTTCCCTGTTCTCTATCAGTCATCCTGCAGGGCAAAGTCTCCTTGCTTTTCCTCCTTACTGGTTGCTGCTGAGACTTCTCCTTGGGTGGAGAAGCTCTCTTGGCAAAGACATCTGGCTTATCCCTGGTCACCTGCAGCACCCAGGACAGTACAGGCACATAGCAAGCACTGAGGAGTGTTTGTTGAATGAATACATGTTGCTGCTGTCTTTGGCAGTTTTCTCTCTCTCCTGGGAGACCACTCCTTTGACCTACTTGGAGTAGATGGTGGAAGGAGTATTAGAAAATACGATGCTCTTTGTAGAAAGAAGGAGGGAGAGAGAGAGAGAGAGTGTCTGTGTGTGTGCGTGCATGTGTGTGTATGTATGTGTCTGCAGATACAGTTGACCATTGAACAATGCAGGGCTTGGGACAGTGAATCCCCCCATGAAGTCAAAAATCCACTTTTGAATATAACTTTTGTTTCTCCCAGAAATTGACTACGAATAGCCTGTTGTGGACCTCCAGTCTTACTGTTAAAAACAGTCTTACTGTTAAAAAATATATAACAGATTAATATATATTTTGTATGCTGTATGTAGCATATACCGTATTTCTACACTAAAGTAAGGTAGAGAGAAGAAAATGTTAAGAAAATCGTAAGCAGGCCGGGCGCGGTGGCTCACGCCTGTAATCCCAGCACTTTGGGAGGCCGAGGCGGGTGGATCACGAGGTCAAGAGATCGAGACCATCCTGGTCAAAATGGTGAAACCCCGTCTCTACTAAAAACTACAAAAAATTAGCTGGGCATGGTGGCGCGTGCCTGTAATCCCAGCTACTCAGGAGGCTGAGGCAGGAGAATTGCCTGAACCCAGGAGGCGGAGGTTGCGGTGAGCCGAGATCGCGCCATCGCACTCCAGCCTGGGTAACAAGAGCGAAACTCCGTCTCAAAAAAAAAAAAAAAAAAAAAAAAAAAAAAAAAAAAAAAAAAAAAAAAAAAAAAAAAAAAAAAAAAAAAAAAAAAAAAAAAAAAAAAAGAAAATCGTAAGCAAGACAAAATATGTTTTGTATTCATCAAGTGGAAGTAGATCATGGTAAAGGGCTTCATCCTCACGGTCTCACACTGAGTAGGCTGAGGAGGAGGAGGGAGAAGAGGGGTTGGTCTTGCTGTCTCAGGGTTGGTGGAGGTGGAAGAAAATCTGCCTGTAAGCGGACTCGTGCAGTTCAAACTCATGTTATTTAAGGGTCAACTGTACATGCATTAAGTGTGACCTGGAAAGAAAGCTCTCTGCCAGCTCTGACCCTTTCTGCAGTCTGAGTTGCCCTGACAATCTGGCAGGGAGGGTAATATTTCCTCCTTTGTCCACGGCCCCACAGCCTTGTGAGCTTCTGTCAGGCTTCACCACCCCCTAGGCAGGCCCTTGCTGTGTGCGCTTCTGTTTCTGTAAGAATCTTGCTTTCCGAATTGAGCCCCCGCCCGGTACCCCTCCCCTCTCTTGGCAGCCTCCCCAACCCCCTACCTTTGGAACTCTGCCTGGGCCCATAGGCAGGCAGCTCCTGAGCCAGCGGAAAGTGCTTCGGAAAATTTATGAGCCGCAGCTGGAATGACAATAACTGCTGACTGGAAAAAGCCCCCTTTCTGGGGGCTGATGGATGGTAGGCTGGCCCGAGGGGTATCCTTGCCATGGAGAAATATCTCCTGTCAGATAAATGGCCCAGACCCTGCCCCCTGGAGCACCTGGCAGGCATCCATCACCCACAAAGTTAAGCCAGGAGGCCGCAGAGCCCAAAACTTCAGCACCTTTTGAGCCAGAAGAACAACCTCTTTGTGGCTGGTGAGGATGAGGGGAGAGGCCAGGGAGGCCAGCAGCACTGCTGTGGTTATTCTTGGGACTCGGGCCCTGCATTCTGGAGCTTGCCTGGCCGGCCGCCTGCCTTCTCTGTGTTTCCCAAGTCCTCTCCAGGAGGCTCTGATGCATGTCTGGTCTTGCTGCCCTGGGAGGCTGCGCAGAGGAGCAGGAGGGGGACTCCTGGTGTGGCTGGGGAGGCCTGATCACCCTTGAGTCTGGGGGGCTGACAGCTGCTGGCTGCGGTCAGAGGAAGTCCCAAGCAGCTTCCCTCAGGGGACAGTTCTACTGAGCTCTCCTCACTCACTGCACTCAGGCCCAGGTCAGTGGGAACAGTCCAGGCCAGCCACCGAGACCCACCACCCACCTGCGGCCTCAAGGCTGCAGCCCAGAGCCCTGTCCCTCAGAGCAGAGGGTCTGGGAAACGGGACACCTGGGCTGGGGGACAGCAGCAGCAAGTTCTCTAAGTGCACCAGGGACTCGCTGGGCCACTGTCCTGTGCCAGGGAGCAGGAGCAGCGCTTACAGCATTCTCTCTCTTTTTTCCTTTCTTGTGGAAATTTGGGGTAAACAGAGCAGTGGCCTGCCAAGCGCTGCATTCTTCCTTTCCTGCGAAAGCATCTGTTTAAATACTTTCCGCCTCAAAGGAAAGAACGTCAGTGCATTCCAGGGCTGGAGGCCTCCTTGGGTTGAGCTAGCTGTGTGTGTGCAGAGCACTGCAGAGTACGTGTGTGTGCCTGCATGTGTGTGTGTGTACATGTGTGTGTGCATGCATGGGTGTACAAATGTGTGTGTGCATGTGTATGTGTGTATGTTTGTGTGTGTATGTGTATGTGTGATCACATGCACAGGCTCACCTCCCTACCTCCCAGATGCCCCTGGGAGGCTGTGTGTGCTGGGCATGGCTGGTCTCAGATCAGAGATGTGCCAATGCAGCCTGGCCCAGCCCAGGCTTATACAGGCAGCGTTATGATGGTGACTTTTGCAAACTCACTTGAGGTCTGGGGACTCTGGGGCACCTTCGATTCACAGCCTCTGAGCTCCTCCCATGTTCTTTGATCTTGGAGGAGATGGGAACAGAGTTGTGAGGGGAGTGAGCAGGAGGCGAAGGTGTAGGCCAGGCTGGGCTGTGTTGTGAGGAATCTTCCAGTCAGGGGTCCCATCTGTTGCCCCAAACTCCTCTCTGGGTCTCTGGGGAAGAGTATAGGTGGGTCAGTGGAGTAGGAACCTCAGACTTTGCCCAGCTGTTGGCCTCTCCCTGTCCTTCTTCTTGGCTCTTAGATAAAGACAAGAGCTTGGGAAGGAGAGCGGACATCCCTGGCACGCCCCTTGCTACTCTCTGTCCTGAGAGTCCAACCTGAGTGTGCAGCCAGTGCACCTGAGAGAAAGACCCTTGGGCCGGTCACGGTATAGCTGGGACTCACGTCTGTAATCCCAGCACTTTGGGAGGCCAAGGCAGGTGGATCGCCTGAGCTCAGGAGTTTGAGACCAGCCTGACCAACATGGTGAAACCTCATCTCTACTAAAAATACAAAAATTAGCCTGGATGGTGGCAGGCACATGTAGTCCCAGTTGCTTGGGAGGCTGAGGCAGGAGAATCGCTTGAACCTGGGAGGCGGAGGTTTCAGTGAGCCAAGATCGAATCACTGCACTCCAGCCTGGGTGACGGAGCAAGACCCTGTCTCAAAAAAACAAGCAAACAAAAAAAAGAAAGATCCCTGTGGTCCAAGTTGAAGACTCAGTTCTAAAACGTTTGTGGATTTGCCATGTCACTTAGCCTTGGACTCAGTTTCCTTCTGTGTAAGATGGGATAATGAGCCATATCCTACTGCTCTAGGTTGTTTGAGGTTAAGATGAGATCAGAGACATGGAGGTACTTTGAGAGAGGGTATGAATGATGTTATCAAAGAAAAGCGTGGGTAAAGGAGCACATGAGTCACACGCGTGCGGCTCGGTGGAGTTTCACAGTGTGAATAGATCATATTATCAGCACCAGCTCAAGAACCATCATCCCGAGAACCTGGAGTGCCCCTGGTGTCCGTTCTCACCCTTACCCACCCTGTTGAGGGCACGCCACTCTGACCCTGAGCACTGTATGTTTGTCTGCCTGCATTTGACTGCACATGGAGGGAGAATGCTGCTGTGAACACTCTTTTGGGGACAAATAATTTGATGTCTGTGGACTGTGCTAGAACTGGAGGGTCAGAGGTAGCCGTGTGTTTAGCTTCTTCAAAAAGGCACTTTTCTAAGGTGGTTGATTGTATCGATTGACACCCCTACCAGCAACACGGAGCTCCCTTATTATATACCCGCCCTCCCACACTTGGTTTTGTCTAAACGGCATTTAAATTCAAGGAGGGATGATTAATAAGTCTTTCTCTGTTGCCTCTGATTTAGATCTTGGAGAGGACTTTGGAACCCGACAGCTCAGATGAAGAGCCCCCGCCTGTGTACTCCCCACCAGCCTACCACATGCACATGTTCGACCGGCCCTACCCTCTGGCTCCCCCGACTCCGCCTCCCCGGTGAGGATCTGTCTTGTCTCAGAGCGCAGGGCGGTAGGGAAGAGGATCAGTGGCTGGGGCTGTGCACGAACAGTGGGAAACTTGGCTGGACCCCTCAGTACATTCTCAAAGAACAGGATTCTACTGCAGCAAGAGACATTTTAGCTAGATACCAAGGAGAACTTGCAAAATGTAAGGATTGCAAGAACACACATTTCCTAGATTCCTACTCTGGGCTAGGTAGTGTGTCTCGTACCACATGGGACACAGAGCTAAGTAAAACTCAGCCTCTGCTTTCTGGGAGATTTTAGTCAAGGGAGATGCCAGAGTAGAAATGACAAATATAGGGACTGTGTACTGACACTTCCCCTCCCAAACCCACAGCAAACACTACTGATTAATCACTGTGCTCTTTCCTGCTGAGTCAACACTGAGCCTCAGATCCCCATCAACACAGAGCACAGCATTCCCAGTCAGTCATCAGTAACTGATGGAATGGCTATCTGCCATCCTTGGGCTAGGGATGTTGTGGGGATTTTTCAGCAATGACAGCAAGTCTCTTTGGTTGGGGTATTTTGATAATGGGAGGCAGGTAGACTGCAAAGTCCCTGGAAACATCTCCCAGGTTAGCTCTGTAATTTGGAAGCTTAAAATGAAGCTAGGCTGGGCCTGGTGGCTCATGTCTGTAATCCCAGCACTTCGGGAGGCCAAGGCGGGCAGATCACTTGAGGTCAGGAGTTCGAGAAACAGCCTGGCCAACATTGTGAAACCCCATGTCTACTAAAAACACAAAGATTAGCTGGGCGTTGTGGTACACACCTGTTAAGTCCAGCTACTTGGGAGTCTGAGGCAGGAGAACTGCTTGAACCCAGGAGGTGGAGGTTTCAGTGAGCTGAGATGGCACCATTGCATTCCAGCCTGGGCAACAGAATGAGACTCCCATCTCAGTCAATCAATCAATCAATCAATCAAATGAAACTAGTTGGCAACAAGGTCCCATGGGTCTCTGGGTGCTTGTTTTTCTAGGCTCCACGTTTGTGCTGGAGCTGCTGGAGCTGGGATGTGGTGGCCTCTTTGCTCTAGAGCTGCCGTTTCTTAGAATGGCTCAGGCCTGAAGTAGTGAGGGGCTGGGGGGATGATGGGAGAGGACACCTGCCCCAGTTGGATCTTCTCTTCCCCCAGAACAGCCCTAGAGCAGTGGTGGAGAACTCTGTTATCAGGCAAATATAGCTAGCATTGACCAAGCACCCTTCCAGTGCCAGAAACGAAGGTTCTTTACCAACACCATCACATTTAACGCAAAGGTGGGGACTGTTGTCATCATCCCTATTTATGGACGAGGAAACTGGGCCTTGAGAGGTCTCATGGCTTCCCCAAGACAAAGAGCTGGAGTTGGAATCCAGGTCACTCTGACTTGCAGCCTGTCACCCTTCACTGCCCTATCCTGTCACCTCCCTAATGAGAAAAATCTCTGATTGCAGCTTAGGGAGCTCATAGAGTCCTAGAAAGTTATTGAGGGGAGGAGGGAGGGAAGTATTTTGAGTCAGGGACAGGAACAGAGCTGGGATCTTTATCATGAGTGGTACGAAGAGCTGGCAGGCTGTCCTGGAGTGGGAGGTGGGGAGTGAGTGATGGGTCTGGGTGGGGCCTAGGCAGGACTTGCAGACTGGGATGGGCCACAGAGCCCAGAGCGACATGATTTTTCCTTTGACTTTTTTTTTGGGGGGGGGGGGATGGGGTCTCACTCTGTCATCCAGACTGGAGTGCAGTGGCATGATCTCTGCTCACTCCTATCTCTGCCACCTGAGTTCAAGCTATTCTTCTGCCTCAGCCTCCTCAGTAGCTGTGATTACAGGCATGCACCACTACACCCAGCTAACTTTTATTTTCAGTAGAGACAGGGTTTCACCATGTTGCCAGGCTGGTCTTGAACTCCTGACCTGAGGTGATTCACCCACCTCCCAAAGTGCTGGGATTACAGATGTGAGCCACTGTGCCTGCCCTGCCTCCACCTTTTTTTTTTTTTTTTTTTTTTAATATCCCAAGATGCTTTTGCAAGAAGTTCAACTGAGGCCATAAGAGAAAGGATTTTTTTTTTCTTCTTTAAATAGAAACAGTCTCATGATGTTGCCCATGGTGAATTTGAACTCCTGGGCTCTAGCAGTCCTCCCGCCTCAGCCTCCCGGGTAGCTGGGACTATAGGACATACCATCATGCTTGGCTGAAAATCCCAGTATAAATACGGTATGAGCATCCACACCCTCTCCCTACTCTGGCTGGGTGTTCAGCCTCTGTGGGTGGGGGGCCAGGGCAGTGCAGCCCAGTGATGGGAGCCCCACTTGGGGGCAAGGTAACCTCAGCACTAGACCAAGGCTCAGGAGGTCTTGTTCAGACCCTGTGGGCTTTAGACAAGTTACTGCTCTTGCTTGAGGTTCTGGAACCTGACTCAGGAAATGAAGGCTTTGCAGGGCTGGGAGTGGATGCGCTGAGAGGTACTTGACCTGTGGAATCAGACGGAAGTGGTCTGTTTTTCCCACCCCTTCCTTCAGCTGCCTAGCTTAGGATTCTTCAGGCACCTTTGCTGTGTGGCCTTTGGCTCATTGCTTAACCTCTTTGAGCTTCATTTGCCTCACCTGAAATGGGAATATTAATTTCTACCTTTGCACTCCAGGAGGATTGAATGAGATATGTGTGGGGCACTCAGCACAGTCCCAGATTTAGACCAGACCTATAATCAGTGGTTTACTGCTCCCTCCTGTCTGCCAGCTACACTTGCTGGCCTCTGAGTTCAGCTCTAATATTGAGCATTGAGACCAGGGGCGAGGCTTCCCCCAGAGGCTAGTCTTCAGTAGAGGCATGGGTCCCTTTGCCCCAGGATGGCTCTGCTAGATCTGGGCCTCTAGGCATCTCCAGCACCTTGTCCAGTCCCTCCATCCAGGATATTCATTTCCAGCATTTACTGAGTCGCCTGCTGTATGCAGGTGCTAAGCCATGTGTGTGATGAGGTGAGTATGGCATTGCTGGACCATCTGTGTGAGCCATGTGCTGAGCCGTGTGTGTGATGAAGAGGTGAGCTCGGCATTGCTGGACCATGTGTGTGAACCATGTGCTGAGCCGTGTGTGTGATGAGGAGGTGAGCTCGGCATTGCTGGACCATGTGTGTGAACCATGTGCTGAGGCGTGTGTGTGAACCATGTGCTGAGCCGTGTGTGTGATGAGGAGGTGAGCTCAGCGTTGCTGGACCATGTGTGTGAACCATGTGCTGAGGCGTGTGTGTGATGTGGAGGTGAATACGGCACTGCCTGTTTCCCCACCCACTGCCAAGGAGATCAGGGTCTAGAGAAGCCGAAGACATGGGGGCAGGGAAGGCTGCCAGGAGAAACTGATGTCCAGGCTGTGAGCTGAAGACCACATGGCAGTAATCTGGAGAAGCAGAGGACAGGGCGGTGCTCGGGCAAAGGAGGCAGCACGTGCCGAGGACTGGAGGCAGGAAGAGGGCCCATGTGGGACCTACTGGAAGCATCTAACGGCAGGTGAGGCTGGACAGGCAGGCAGATCAAGGGCCCTATGGCCCTCCAAGGAGCTTCTATCTTCTCTTGCAGCCTGGGAGCCTTTCAAAGGCCTTAAGCTGGAGAGTGACAGGACCAGGTTAGTGTTTTAGGAATCTTCCTCTGGCTGCTGAGGGAGATCAGATTTGAGTAGGGGAGTGGCCTCCTCCCTTCTGCCACCTCCAGTCACTGGGGTGCTGAGAGCCAGTGTATGGGGCAGAGTTTGGGAGCATGAGCATTGTCCTGCTAGGGCACAGAGAGGCAGGCAACACTGGGAGCATGCTTCAGATGTCACGATCCCTGGGCCCAGGTTCTATCTGGATGATCTCTGTGTCCCGGGACATGGCCTGAACCTGTTCTGGACCTCAATGTCCAGTTTTTACCAAAAATTGTACTTGGAAGGCCTGTCTCTGAAATCCTTTTCCATCACGTCTGATGTTCCATGGGTAAACCTGAGGTTTCGATGGGGCTTGAAGTTGTAGTTTTGGGGTCCAGAGGCAGAGGCTCTGGGCTGGGAAATCCTCCCCAGCTTCTGTCTCCTTCCCCTCCCCCAGCCTATCTTTCCTTCCATCTGTCTGAAAGAAAGTCGGTCTCTGAAACCCAGGGGACCCCTCCACACAGGCCGCCTGCTGTTTTTCCGTTAAAATTACAGCCTTGGAAGTTTTTTGTATTTGCGTCTCTGCTCATTTCTGACATTCCTTTCCGACCACAATGGAGTTGCCTGGGCTGCCTGTGCTCAGGGCCCCCAGCTCACGCAGCTGTGGGCTGACCTCATCTCTACCAGTGCCAGGCAAGGGGCCAGGAGGGGGCTGGGCTTGGCCTTCCTTCAGGGCCACAGGCCCAGCAGCAAGGGAAACTCAGCCGAGAACAGGGACTTCCTCCATCTTGTCCTGTTCAACACTTGGATGCCTCATGGCTGGAGGGGTCCAGATGCACCTCTGGGGTCCTCCCTCCGCTGCTTTCCTGGGTGGCTCCCAGGTGTGGTTAAATTGGGGATGGGCATCCACGTCCCAGATGAAGACCCTGAGATCCAAGAACGGGCAATGCCCCTGGAGAGGACTCCTCTTTGCTCTGGCCTGGGCTGGTCTGTGGGTCCCTGAGAGATGGGGCTCCCTCTCTCCCCATCTCTGGCCTTTGGAGAAAAACGAAGCCTCCAACAGTGACAGAAGGTGGCAGTGATATAGAAGGAAATTTGGCCGTGGAATGGGAGTCCGGGGTTGTGATGCGAGCTCCTTTCCGGACCATTCCCTCTCCCCCTGTGTCTGCGCAGCGAGAGGGTGGACGAGGCGTGATGGGGTTCCCTTGGCTCCAGTCTGTGAGCGCTGAGCTCCCCACAGGCACTTAGCAGCTGGTTATGCTGTCTGCTGCCGCCCCCGCCCCTTCCCCGCGCCCCCGCCACCGGCCACCCGCCCAAAATAGAAAAGGAAAGGAAGTTATTTCCATAGTCAGCGGCAGCCCGGAAAAGCTCCCCTCCAGTGAGGGGGCGGGCGGGATTCCTGGAGCTGGAGACCAAATCAAAGCCAGGCCCAGAGAGTGAGAGCGGCCCCCACCGCCCGACCCTCGGCTGCCTGCTCAGAGCGCGGCTGCCTGCTCAGTGCGCCGTTTCCCTGATTCAGCGGAACACGTGTCCTGCGGTTGCCACGCTGCAGGCTGCCATGGAGCTGTGGGGAACTCCTGGCCGGGCTCCAGGCTGCCCTCAGGCCCAGGCAGCAGGGCGGGAGCCTGGGGGTCAGGGAGGGTGTGAGCCAGTCCCCTCTTCCTCTCCTGCCTTGCCCAGCTGTCGGCTCTGCCATGGCACAGAGCTCCCGCCACACACATGCCAGACCTGGAAAGAGCGGCTGGCCCCAGGGCGCCCTGAGAGCGAGATCCTTGCGCACTTACATCAACACGTCACTGCTCAGGACACAGCCTCCTGAGGGGCTCCCCGGCACCTGGGCAGGGAGACAGCAGTTTCTAGATGAGGAAACTGAGCCCTAGAGGGGAATAGGGGCCCACCCAAGACCACCCTACTGGCTGGTAGTTGAGCCGGAACTGGAGCTTGGATTTACAGGGATCCTGGCGTCCCCACATGCCCCCTTCTCAGCAAACCAACATGCAGCAGGCTGTGCTGCTGGGGCTTATGTGTCTGTTTCTTTGGACCATACCTGTCACTCAGCATCATGAGACTGGCATTGTGTAGGTGCTAGGATAGAAGCATGAAAGGATGCGATTCCTGCCGTCTTTAGGGGACATTCGTAAACAGTACGTCTACATCCACAGCGTTCCACATGAGCACCATGGACAGACAGCTCTGCAGGTCTAGAGATCTGGGAGGCGCTGAGTGACTGGAGAGCAGTGAATGGCAGGGAGTTAGCTGAGGCTGGTGGAGAAGTCTCCAGTGATGAGGCAGAGTGACAGGCCTTTGTTCTGGAGGCAGTGGAGGCCATGGGAATCTTATCTTTTTTTTTTTTTTTTTTTTTGAGACGAATCCCATTATTGACTTGTATTTATTGAATTATCCCTGCATGCCTGGGATGAAACCCACTTGATCATGGTGAATTTGAGACGAAGTCTTGTTCTGTCACCCAGACCGGAGTGCAGTGGCACGATCTTGGCTCACTGCAACATCCATCTCCCAGGTTGAAGCAATTCCCCTGCCTCAGCCTCCGGAGTAACTGGGACTACAGGTCGTGCCACCACGCCCAGCTAATTTTTTTAGTAGACGGGGTTTCACTATGGCCAGGATGGTCTCAATCTCCTGACCTCATGATCTGCCTGCCTCGGCTTCCCAAAGTGCTGAGATTATAGGTGTGAGCCACTGCACCCAGCTGGCCATGGGAATCTCTGAGCAGGATCTGACCTGCCTGAGGACCTGGTGTGATGGGGCCAGGAGACCTGGGGTTGGGCTTGATGGCTCCCTCCTCCCTGTCACTTCCCATCCTCTAGGATTGACGAGCTGGGCTCTGGAGCCCCTACAAGCCAGAGGCGCTATCGGAACTGGAACCCACCGCTGCTGGGCAACCTCCCCGATGACTTTCTCCGCATCCTGCCCCAGCAGCTGGACAGCATACAGGTAATGGGGGCCGCCCCCACCTTCTACTCCCACCTGCCTGTCCAGCAGCTCTCTTTGCCCACACAATTTGTGCCAGCCAGTTTTACTTCCTGATCTTTAAATCCAGGCTGAGCTATTTCTGTTGCTCTGGGTTTGTAGGGAAGGGACGCTGAACTGAAAGCCTCGCTTCCTGCCTGGGCCTGGAGGTTTCCTGTTGTATTCAGGGAAGGTGACAGCTCAAGGAGGCTGCCTGCCGCAGCTGTCACCTCAGGCTGGAGAGAAGCGGGCATAGGGCAGCTAATGGTGGAGGGCCAGGGCACTCCCCTTCCTCCTTGGGAAAGGGCCAGAGGCAGCTTCTCCCTAGATGGTGGCATGCCCCAAGGTGCCTCCACAGCAGGGCAGGTCCGCTCTGAGGCCATTGGTGCAGGGAGAGGGTTGAGTTTGGGAATCCACGTGTAGGCTGTTCCATGGTTTGCAGATTTCTTTCCAGGACTCTTCAGGTTGTAGATGGTGGTCCGTGATGTGGAGGAAAAATAGGTTTTAGGCTCCTGCTACGTCCCCTGCAGCGAGGGCTCTGACCTGTCTATTGGATTTTGGCTGGCAACCAGGTTCCATCAGGAGGTGTGAGCCTCAAGGGAGGGCTGCAGGATGTTGGACAGGGCGTGTGTGCAACCAGAGGGACGTGGGTGTTTGTGCCACACATGCCCTTGTGTGTATGCATTCAACGTGCTCTCTCCACTCCCCAGGGTAATGCTGGGGGCCCCAAGCATGGGAGTGGAGAGGGAGGTCCGCCTGCCATGGCCGGGCCAGGGCCCCGAGACCAGGAGAGCCGCTGGAAGCAGTATCTGGAAGACGAGAGGATCGCGCTTTTCCTGCAAAATGAGGAGTTCATGAAGGAGCTGCAGCGGAACCGCGACTTCCTCCTCGCCCTTGAGAGAGGTGGGCAGTGCACGCAGCCGCTTCTCCCTGGCTGAAGAAGGGAAGTGATGCTGGCTTTAGCCTTGGGGCTCAGGAAAGCACTGAGCTGGGGGCTGAGGGGGTCAGGTGCTTTCTGTCCTACGAGGCATGACTCCCACCAGGTTATCCCAGGGGAGCCCCAGAATTTTGCCAATGGGGACCTGCGTCACTGGCCACCCCTTTCTCCCTCGGGACTCAGAGGAAGGAGGGTGTACACTCTTAGGCCTTCTTCCCTTTGCACATCTGCTCTGTGCCAGGCACTGGCCTTGGCACAGGGAAGCAGGGAGAAGAGCACTGCCCTTCCTCACAGCACTAGCCCTAAGGCAGGCATGATGTGTCTGGAGCTCGGGGAATAGAATGACTGGCTCCATGGGCACCAGAACGTGGGAAGCTCGTGAGTGGAAGGCCTTAGAAGGGGCTCTGGAACTCTGTGGGTATTTGGGTAGTCTCTGGGTTGGAGACCCAGCTCCCCAGCCTGGCTGCCTTTCCCCTGCGGGGTGGAAGTGTGTTTGGGCTAGAGGAAATGAGAGGGCCTTGGAGCTCTGTCACTGTGATGGCCATAGCATGAGCGCTTGTGTGTGTTAACTGATGGTGTGTTGGTGGGGGAGGAGCAAGTTGTGCAGGGATAAGGCTGAGTTGAGGCCCAAGGTGAGCCCCAGCTCTGCAGCAAAGGTGCTGGAAGTCTCAAGGCCTTTCCTTTATTTATTTATTTATTTATTTAGAGACACAGTGGCTCATTTTGCTCTTGTGGCCCACGCTGGAGTGCAGTGGCTCGATCTCGGCTCACTGCAACCTCCACCTCCCAGGTTCCAGCGATTCTCTTGCCTCAGCCTCCCAAGTAGCTGGGATTACAGGCACATAGCACCACGCCTGGCTGATTTTTACATTTTTATAGTTGAGACAGTGTTTCACCATGTTGGCCAGGCTGGTCTCGAACTCCTGACCTCAGGTGATCCACCCGCCTCAGCCTCCCAATGTGCTGGGATTACAGGCGTGATTCCATCACACTTGGCTGGGTCTTTCCTTTTAAATGAGGGTGTTTGGACTGTATAATCTCTCCATGTCCTTTTAATTCTGACATTCGAGATAGTTGTCAGATAGTAATTTCTTTCACTGCTGGTTCTTTGAGAGCTGGGAGATGTTGTATGCACTCATATTTTGGGTGCCTGTGTGCTTGTGTGATTTGGGGGCTCAGCCTCTAGCAACCTACCACGCCCCAGCCCAGCCTACCCCTGGGAGCCCAGGAGCTAACCTCCTTGACTTGTGAATGTGGTCCTTTTCCAGATCGCTTGAAATACGAATCCCAGAAATCTAAATCCAGCAGCGTGTCTGTCGGAAACGACTTTGGCTTTCCCTCTCCTGTCCCAGGTAACTTTGACTTCCGGGGATGGGACGGAAACCTAGAGGCATGGCGCAGGGGGTCACACCCAACTTTGCTTTGCATATTTGGAGTTTGGGAGTAGGGTGAAATAACCAGATTGTGGGAGGGGGCCTGGGCCTCCTGAGCAGTCTGGCGAGGCCGCTTCTGCCCCCACCTCCACATCTGCTCCATTTAGCAGCCCTGGGGTCTTTCCAGTCCAGCCACGGCTGGGCTTCTGAGCCCACATCTGGACATTTCTCCTTACAAGATTATAAGGTTGGCCGGGCGTGGTGGCTCATGCCTATAATCCCAACACTTTGTTTGGGTGTAACAGGCTGGCTGAACTCTCAACCTGTGCCTTGAGTGTAGGCTAGTAAAGGACACACGGCTGGGTGCAGTGGCTCACACCTGTAATCCCAACGTAAGACCCTTTGTCGCCACCAAAAAAAATACAAAAAATTAGCTAGGCATAGTGGCATGTGTTTGTAGTACCACCTATTCAGGAGGCTGAGGTGGGAGGATCACTTGAGCCCAGGAGGTTGAGGCCACAGTGAGCTGTGATTATGCTACTACACTCCAGCTTGGGTGACAGAGTGAGACCTTGTCTTCAAAAAAAAAGGAAAGAAAAGGACACATCGTACCCCAAAATGCCCCGTAATGGGACTCAGAGACTTGATAAGTCTTGGTCTCTGCCCTGGGGGATCTTATGGTCTTTTTTTTTTTTTTTTTTTTTT